ACATACAAGTTATATATTGACATTAACAATGTGAGAGAATTTTATCCATTTGTTCAGTTTAACATGTGCATATTTTTTCTTTCTTTATTTGTGCATTCTTCTTACTTCTTTTCTTCTCATTTTAGGTTTTTTTTTTATTTAAATATATACAAGTAATAAGTCAAGTTATATTTGAAAGTTTTTTTTGTTTGTAACTTTTGTAACTTTTGTAACTTTTGTAACTTGAATTTTTTTTTTTACAAATGGGAAAAAAATTCGTAAACTCAAACAAATTTGTATAAATGTATAATTATTTAATGTATGTAATGTATGTAGTATACATACAAATATACAACAAATATTTTATGTACATAATAAATATATATATAACATATCATAATAACATATCATATAACATATCGTTAGTAAATATTAGTAAATATATATAACATATCGTAAATATAATCAAACATAAAAATCATATAAATGTATATCACACACATTCTTTTTTTTTCATCCAGAAAATCAAAATAAAATAATTAATAATTTTTCACGCGTTTATAATGACTTCCAAGTATTTGGTTCAAAATGATAAACCTTGATTTCTAAAAAAAAAATTTAATTTTTAATTTATTATTATTTATTTAAGTCGGAGTTATGGTTTAATCTTCAAACATATGAGCTATGAGCTACATAAATGATCCACCTTTTTTTAATTTAAAAAAATATTTACTCCTTAAATGAACATCTTTTTTTTAATATTAAAATTTCATTTGTTCACATTTTAGAATTCTTCAAAAAAAATCGATCTAAAAAAAAATAATTCCTAAAACCCTTTTTTTTTTTACCCTTTTTTCTTTTTTATATTCCTAAATTTGTTTCAAAGAAATTTTTTATTATTCAATTTCCTAAATTATAATTACGCCAATTGTTATTATGTCATCTTAACACAATATATAACAATAGGAAAAAATTTTCGTCTAAATTTAGTTATCAACAGTAATCCCTCAAAGGTAACTGATCTGATCGGTAAAAGATTTTCATCTCAATCCCTGGTAATAATAAAAGTGGCTTTATTAACATTTATCAAAATAATAATGCAACTCGATTAAAATAAGTGGCGGCGGCGTATATAAAGCGGAAGTTTTCGGTATTATTATCAACCTCATTCCCGTTGTTCACACAACATGGCGGGAAAACTACATATCACTTTATATTTTTTTATAATTAGTGCAACAAATTAATTATTTTTCCGTTTGTTAATGAAACTATAATGGATCAATTTACTCCCAATTGGAAAACTTTATTACTAATTTATTCATTTCAGGAAAATTAACAATGTACGAAACATTTTTTATGACGTATTTGTTTAATTAAAAGGATATAGGGCGCAAAACATTATTAACCAAACCACAAAAAGGTTGGTTCCCAGAAGATACATAATGTATTAATGATTTTCGCGTGCTTTGCCTATCTTATTACGTATAGTTGGTATAGTTGGTTACGTTTTAAATGGTTACGTTTTTTTTTTTTAATTCTAGAAGTTAAAAGATAAATTATTTTAGTAATCTAAATTACGCAATCCCTTGCATTTAGGAATTCAAATCTACGCGTTAATTTTAAAAAATTCACCTTTCCTTATTTAATCAAAATTCTTAAATTTTTAACCAGTTCATTCAAAAGTTCATCCAAAAGTTCATCCAGGTTCATCCAGGTTCATCCCTTCTTGATAAGGAAATTTTCATACGCTTTATACCTATCTGGGAATTTTATACTACCTATCCGGGAATTTTCTTTTATGATTACAATACTATATTTCCATATCTATTATCGGGAAGGAATAATACCCTTCAAATAACAAACGGCCCGTTGTTCTTTATCATTCATAGATTTGTGCTTACCAAGTTTGTTTACGGCGTTGAACAAACAAAATTTTTTTTACTTTTTTAAAAAAAAAAACTCTTAAAATTGCGTGTGTATATTATACGTTTATATATAATAAAAAAAGCGGATTCCAAATATATCAAAACAACGAACCAATTTATTATGTTAAATCAAGTAAAGACGGACCGCATACATTTTTCTTTTTTTTTCTTAAATAATGATAATAATAAAAAAAAAACATTAAAGAATTTTAAATTTTTTTTTTTTTTTTTTTTTTTTTTTTTTTTTTTTTTTTTTT